ACAGCAACTTGTCTGTTCCCCTTCCCCCAATTCCCTAGCACTGTTCCCATCCCCCCTTCCCCAAAAAAAAAAACTTTAAAAAAAAAAAAAAAAAGGAAAGAAACAGCCACTCTTGTTTGAAAATTGTGTCTTGTGCTTCCTTGGGGCTTTGTGCCAAAGCTATGAGCAGTGATCTAAATCTTGGATTATCAAAAAATGAAACCTTTCTAATCACTATGTTGTTTTGTACATCTGAAACTAATTTTAAAAAGAGTACATCAAATAAACAAACAAATAAATAAATAAAAACAAGAACAAAGTAGGGGAAAAAATGAGATCTTTGCAAAAGTTAATAGTCATTCTTTCTTGTTCATTCATTCATTTACTACCTTCAACACTATTTTGTGGACAGAAACACATAACTGAATGAGAAACACATTCTGCCTATACAGAAAAACACTCAGAGATGTCCCAAGAACCCATCTTCCCACAGGGGAAAAAAAAAAGCAAAGAACAGGGAGGCAGAGAATATAAAATGAATTCTGCCCTTGGCAGAGGAGCCATCAGTTATCGTCATGAAGAGCCTTGTCCCCTCTTCCCTGTCCCACATGAGTGGTCCCAGAGCATTTATTTGGTATCGCAAAGGCAACAGAGGGAAGGTGTTTACAGACATATCCTGATAAATGTCCTTGTTCCATATCTCTCCACACAGAGGGTTCCACATCCTCTTCCAGTCATCGGTATTCAGCCAAGCACCAAGGAGAGGCCTTAAGCTAATCATATTCTCTAAATGTAATTTTAAATCAGAGCTAGAAAAAATAATGGACAGTTCAAGAGACTATCTATTAACCTAATGACATCTATGGATGGACGAAAAGACTAGATTTATTGTACTGCTTATTTATGGGCTTCAAACTTCACCGAGCCTAGAGAGTGATGCCAGGCGGAGGCTGAGAAGTGGCAACGTTCAGGTCAGACACGTTTCCTTCAGCAATAATTGCTGCTGATTGAAACACAACTCTCCCTGGGATTACATGAGGCATTCTCATACATTAAGGGTGGGGGCGTATGATGGTGAAATCCTTTAAGAAGAGAAATGCACGCATGTACACACATACATGCCTATATACATACCTATACATATATACATATGTATATGCATACCTTTTATATATGTGTGAGTGTGTGTGCACTGTCTTACATAGCTATACTCTAGGACTTCCATTTCTGGGTAGCTAAATTAAGGAAATAATTCAAAACTCAGAAAAAGCTTTCTGCACAAAGCACAGTCATTATTCTTTGGGTGTTCAAACTGTCCTGTTTGTCACAACGAGATACTTGTCTTTTGTTTTATCTGTCCTAGACCTGGGGCTAGCCATTTCTCCAAACATGCTCGGTGGCGTCTTTGTAGTAGGAACTGATATTTAGAAACCAAGCTCTGGGCACTAGGAATCTTCTCTGCTACTGTGTGATTTTCCCTCTCCATCATCCTTTGTTCTTGCTCTACCCTGCTTGATTCTCAACTCCCTCGGAGAGAATTAGATTCTTCCTCCTCTCCCTTTTGTGTCATTTACACTTTGACTATTTCATATGTGACCGCACTGTCGATATATCTGTTCCTTTCACTGGACTCTGAGCCGGTTGAGGGTAGAGGCCATGCTTACTTCATTTCTGAATTCATCCGTTCATCCATCAGTTTATTGCACATCTATTGCGTGCTAAGCTGTGAAACCTGGAACTGAATACAGAGCTGCCATGTAGCAAACCCTCAGTAAGTACTTGGGAGAACTGGGAGGAATAAGCTTGCATGGCGCTTCATTCTCTTTACCCCATCTCACCAACCAGAAGGGGTTACAGTGAGAATGGAGGGAAGAGAAAAACTCCCAGAAAATGTAATTACACTAGACACCAAGGAGTCAGGCCAGCAGCTGCCATTTACCCAGTCAGGTTCAAAGGGAACCCTTGCCTTGTACCTACTGGGCTCCTAGAGCAGGAAGGG